TAAAGATAGGAGACCAAAAATTAGAAGAAGTGGCCAATTTTAGGTATCTAGGAAGTCAGATAAGTCAAGACGGAAGGAGTAGTAGGGATATAAAGCAGAGGATATCGCAGGGTCGAGTCACCTTCAATAACAAAAAGTCACTTCTATGCTGGCGAACGATTAATTTAGAAATTCAAAAAAGATTGTTAAAGTTATATATTTGGAGCTAGGCGCTGTACGGGTGCGAAACATAGACACTGGGGGCGGCAGAAAAGAAAGGGTTGAAAGCGTTCGAAATGTGATGTTGTAGGCGAATGGATACCGTGGATAGAGAATGTTAGAAATGAAGAGGTATTAGAAAGAATAGGAGAACAGAGGACTTTATGGAAGTCAATAAGAAATAGGCGAGATAGGTTAGTAGAACACCTTAGGCATGAAGGTCTAGTCAGAGGCAGAAACGGGAGTTAGGAGGGGTAGATGTGGGTTGTTCTAGTTTTAGAGAAATGCGAAGGTTATCTCAGGATAGGAAAGAGTAGAGATGCGTGTCCAACCAGTCTTAGGACTGACGACCTTATAATGATGATTTTGATCGTTGATTTTAGTATAAACAAAAAATCGAATCGAATCACAATTGAATGTCTTTAAATTTTTTCTAAATTTAGTATAATAGCCTCAGTACAAATAGAGATAAATAATTTAAATGTAAATGGTTACACTGTAACATTTATTGTGGATTGAAAATGTCAAAGTTCAGGTCTTTTCTTTCGATCGCTCAAATTGAAGCAAAAACCTTAACAGATCTCGATCTGGTCAAAAAGGCAGCTTGTTGGAAAAATAATTTTAAACGAATTTGATATCTTGACATTTGCGGGGTAAACTATTCTACCGTATCAGGATCATCCCTCGAAAGTGAATGTAAAACACATCCTCAGGAATACTTCCTTAAATTAAATAAATGAAAATGTTAAGGTGGACGCGAGGACCCTCAAGCTGAAAGTTTTATTCTATCATAAGTACTCATACATTATGTACGTTACGTTCAAAGGCTGAAGACTGAAGATTCAACCAAAACCAAATAGTGATAAATCTATGCGTAACTATTTTCAATAACGGTCTGTCACCATCATAAGGTCGTCAGTTGTAAGATTGATTAGACACGCACTTCCACTTTTTCCTATCCTGAACTAATCTTCGCATTTCCCTAAACATAGAACATCCCATATCATTAGCTATTTGTGAACAGTAATCTCTCTACTCCTCATAACTCCCGTTGCTGCTTCTAATACAACTACCTAAGTAACCCTTCATGCCTGAGAAGATCTTCTACCAACCCATCTCGCCTATTTCTGAGTGGTTATAGTCCTCAATTAACAATTAATTATACAACCAACTAAATGTTGAACAACTAGTCACGTCAAAGTTGAACTGCGATTCTTTATTATTCCCGGAATGGATCCTTTAAATTCTGTTGATGCTATTCTGAATTATTTATGTAGGTATATGAAGTAATTAGTAGTCTTTTAGTTTATGATGATAATAAGAAATCAAAGCCGAACAGGGTAAAAGGGTTAATTGCAGTAAAACCAACACCGACGTTTCGCTTGTAATTTAAGCCTTTATCAAGGTAGGTTTTAATGTGTCACCATGTATTGCTGGCAAAACATTGAAGAGGATGATACATGAGTCCCCAAAAACTTAGTAGCACAAGACACGTAGATATAGATAAAATAACAAACATAATAAGTAATTATATAACATAATATAGTTAAAAACTATCTATCTATTTATTCTTTTATTTTTGCACGCTTTTAATTATGTATTTATTATTTTAACTATACCTATGAGTCTTGTGCTACTACAACTACTTTTCAACGGTTTGCCAGCATACAGTACACTTAAAAACCGACCTAAAATGATAAACATTTAAATTAGAGGCGAAACGTCAATGTTAGTTTTACTACAATAAATGTTTTTGCCCCTGTTCGGCTCTGATTTTTTTATTATCATGGTAAATAAACTAAGTTATGCGAGATCTTTACAACCTGAAAAAATGTGATTGCCGCAACCATTCTATTAAAGTTTTGACCGACACTAGTTTATAAAAAAATATATCATCGCCCCGTTTTTACTACAATCTCAAAGTGGTGACATAATCAAATGAAGTCGCGGGTGGTTTTTTATTGCGTGATTTTTTATCACGAATTGCGACCGAAAAAACACTTGTATAAAGCTATAAAGAATGGATAATAGGCGGAAATTAGATCGGCTCAATGTGCGATTACGTCCTAATTAAGTGCCCAGAGAATTAATTGCTCAAAAATTACGATTCGGCTAATTTATGATTAAGTGAACAGAACTTCAGCCAAAATATTATTTAAGCAATGGAAATAGCTCTCACTCAGTCACTTCCTTTTTATTGACTTCTATAGAATCAGTCCTCTGTTCTCCTATTCTTTCTAATATCTCTTCATTTCTAACCTTTTCTATCCACGGTATGCTCATCATTCGCCTGTAACACCATTTCGAACGCATCTAACCTTTTCTTTCCGACGCGCCCACTGTCCAGGTTTCGCACCCGTACAGCGCCGCGCTCCAAAACAACACCTTTAACAATCTTTTTCGAATTTCTAAATTAACCGTTCGCGAGCATAGAAGTGACTTCTTTTTGTTGAAGGCGACTCGACCCTGTGCTATCCTCTGCTATCCCTATCCCTACTATCGAATTCTTGTAATTGAAAAAAAAAGCTCAAAATCGCTATTTTTGCAATGTACTGGTAAAAGTACTCTAACGAGAAATTAAATATTCCGCCCGTTTTTTTCAAAATGCTTTAAAGCAATGTGAACAATAAAAATTGAACAATATAATTTTAGATGTTCGGACTATTTCTGCCACATCTTTTGCCGACTTTTTATTGATGTCGCGTACTTAATATATTAGACAAATGATCCCTTAATTTTCAATTAGACTACTTTCAAAGTCTACAATTTCGCCAATGATCTCACTTAGGCCAGCAGAACTACTGATATCTTTGAAAAAATTTCCCCTGTATTTAATTTCTCATTATTAGCAGTGGGGTCGCGTGTAGAGTGGAGAGGGGTTGGGGGCATGGGCTCGGGGCGGCGCAAATGTGGGACCGCTAAAATGTTCTTTTCGGTATTAGATAGAGTCAGGTCCGTCACACAGGAGTGCTAGATGTCCCAATTTCTTAGAATTTGTACCAGTTTTCAATAATTTGTACCATGTCATGTATGCATCGCAAAATTCCAAGATTTTTCTGTTGATAAAAATCTGTCAAACACAACTGCCTTGTATCTAACCATAAAAATGATATTTTTTCATTGTCAATGTAACAAAAGCTGAAGGCGGAAAGACCAAACCCTAACAGTTCATTTAGTGATAGAAATAAAAGCCTTCCAAGCTCCCATAGCACAAAATGTACAGGAATCGTCGAGTGGACTATACTTAGATTTAGCCTATTTTATTATAAACAGGACACTTTTTATATTCTATTTTCATTTAGCACTACATAATATTAAATCTCACAAATGTCATCAGCAAAATGATGCATAATCCTGAATTATTGAAATAAAATTGCAAAGATATGGAATGAAATCTTATGTAGGTACCCAGCGACAATAAAAATGCTAAAGTTCTTGAAAGTAATGGTATTGAAGAAGCTAAATGTTTATAATTTTTTATTATTCCTTAGATGGATCCTCAAAATTCTCTTGCGTCTGTGAATTATGTGCTTAAATGAAGTAAGTTATGTGAGATATCTGAAAACGTACATGCTTAATTTTATGTTTGTTCCTAAGTAAATTAACCTTTTTTTAAATTTAATTTTAATTAACTTATAAATTTAAAGTAATTATTTTGTTGTATCATAATAAGGAAAACAGCACAAAATTTTTTTTGCACGCGTGACTCGTGAATAGAACAACTTCTGAACTTTATTAACTTCCCAGTCATAGGGAAATTTTTGTAATAGTTTCCAAAAATCCAAATTGTTTTCAACGTATTTTGTGATTTGAAGGTTACAATACCATTGCTAAATTCGGAGATAAAGTATAAGCAGTACTAAAAATGTAATCTAAAGAAAATTTCATAATATTCCTTTTCCTGTTTAAACAAAAGGACTGGAAAAAAGTACATTTGGGTATTTTTTGGAAACTTTATTTATTTTTATAAACCTTAATTATTTCCTCAAAGGCTAGATTAAAAATATAAGTTTTGCGTACACCTTTTCACTGCAATCCCGACTAATATAAATAAAAGGTCTTACATTATTATGAAAATAGGAAGCGCGGCAAATTTAGATCGACAGAAATTTACACTACGCCATTGGTCTTCACTCAGCCTATGAAGGTCCCTTTCATTTTCTACATTACTCCAATAAAATGTAAGGTAGGAAAGTACATTTATCAAAATTATTTAATTCCGTCTAATGAAATATCGTAAGACTATTATCTTGATTAATTAAAATAAATCCAATATTTTGGTATATCAGAATGCGCCCTGCATTAAGCTTATGTCAAATTCGTTTACGTATAACATGTTAATTACATTATATATATTTTTTAAATTACGTTTCTAAATTAATATAAAAAGCACATTAAGATTGATATAGTGTGGTACCTCAAAACAGTAAACAGTTGATCTTCACAACAGTAAATCTTAATCATTTATTCAAATGAATGTTAATTTTAATAAATTTATTTGGAAATATTGCTTAAATTCTTACAAATAGATATAGATAAATAAAATATGCCGTTAGTTTAATTGCGGATGATGAGTTTTTATTTACGAATTAAATTGAGTTAGTATATATGAACGCACCTATAGAATCTATTATCTATGCATCCACAGTATGGAAATCATTTTCATCTATGGGTGTTGCAATTGTCTTTCGCCTGTCGTCTCTTGTCTATGGTCGTCTCATGTCATTTCACGTGTTAACCTTGCCGAGTTATTACGTTGCTGGTCTGCTTTTTAGGAGTCGAAACGGTGCTTGCAGGTATTTAACCTTAATCGCCCTAATCTTTATTCGCTTTTCATTTGATTGTGTGAAATATGCTTCTATCAATAATGTATTAAGCGGTATCGATTACAGTTGCTTAGTTTATTTTGGTGTAAATGATTTTTTCGTTGACATGGATTTCGTGCTCCAACAGGAGGGTTCATCTTGGCAACTTGACTATCTACTATGAATTTTATAGATTCTTAGTTTATTTGAGGCCGAATAATTAAGGTTGTGTTAGATTTCTTGAATTTTAAAAACGAATTTAGACGATGATTGCAGATTTTTCGTATTAGTGTGACCACTCCGCGAAAAATGTTTATTACTTTGGTATTCTGTAGATTAGGTTTTAACGACTTGTTTTGTTTTTTCTTCAATATAGACAGGACTTGGAGATAACATTGCTGGATTGGATGACCATATTATTGACGGATCTAGTTTTTGTGGCATTTTTTCATGCATTTTCTACTTAACCTTAGAGAGGTGGCATTTGTATGAAGGGTGAGGAATCATTAATAATTTTTTTAAGTTATGTTTACAAAATTGTGTTTTCTGAGTCTTGTACTTGACTAATTTAGGACATAGTATTTTAAAAAGTAATAATTGAGTTGTAAGTAATATTAAATTGTTTGGGCAGGTCGTCATTTAAGCATGTAAAGTGAACGTCGATATGACAAATAACGACTCGACAACTGGAGAAGTGCGGTGCCGTTAACGTCGTCTCTTCTAGGCTTCGTATTTTCTGTAGAAAAGGTAAGAAATTCTTAATTATTCTATAGTCATTTTTATAAAATTGTTTTTAATTACCTTAAAGAGGGTAAATCTAAAGGGCTTGAAACGTGAAGATTCAGAGCCCCATTAATGCGAACATAATAGTTAAGATGAAACTAACATTAAATTGTTTTAACAGGTTATCATTTAAACTTATTAAATGAACAAGGAGACAAAGAATAAGGACTCAAAATGTGGAGAAGGGGAGCTCTGTTAATGTTGCGTCTTCTTAGACTTGAAAAGTGCAATTTTTAGAGAACAAATGAAGTCCAATTCACATTGATGTATTTAGGAATAAAACTTGAGCACCGTACAATTAACCTCGACGTAAGTAATTGCATTATTGTTTATTGTTTTGATGGTACTTAATTTTCATAGTAATTTGCTATGTCTGGCATCTATGGTTTTTGTTCTCTAACAGTTATCTATGGTCCACATCTATGATTTTCTTGTATCATTTATCAACTGTGTAAAAGCATTATAGTTGTTACTATTGCCTTTAACATTTATCTATGTCTTGAATAAAATTGACGGCACATGGCCATTTTATAATTTTGGTATTTTACTTGTTTTTTCGTGTATGTTTTTATTATATTTCATACTTTACTTAATTTAATCTTTTCCTTAATTAATATTTTTTTTTGTCCGTCTCTGCAGATCGTCCAAATGGTGAGAAAGGAAGAATTAAAGTTCAGATTGATGGCATTGAAACAGCCAATGTCTTGTCTTGATTTGCTGTTTTCGTCTTCAACTTGCAACATTATGCAGTTAATTTTCAACAGATGAGTGAGAGCCAGAGGAGATTTATATGAATTTCACTGAAACAAGTTTCTGCTATGATATTCCTTCTGGATTTAGTTTGCTTTTCACACATGCAAACTTGGGAAGTTTACAGTAGTCTACTGTTTGCTAAGGTGAGAGTATTTAATATAATTACTATTAATTGCTCTTTATTAATCTGTTACCACCGTATCTNGTGAGAAAGGAAGAATTAAAGTTCAGATTGATGGTATTGAAACAGCCAATGTCTTGTCTTGATTTGCTGTTTTCGTCTTCAACTTGCAACATTATGCAGTTAATTTTCAACAGATGAGTGAGAGCCAGAGAAACGAATGTACTTTACAATAACTGTATTATCTAATGGGAAGTTAGTCGTATTAGCACCGACCAAAATGTGCTCAGACCAATTTTTAATATTTTTTTTTGTCCGTCTCTGCAGATCGTCCAAATGGTGAGAAAGGAAGAATTAAAGTTCAGATTGATGGCATTGAAACAGCCAATGTCTTGTCTTGATTTGCTGTTTTCGTCTTCAACTTGCAACATTATGCAGTTAATTTTCAACAGATGAGTGAGAGCCAGAGGAGATTTATATGAATTTCACTGGAACAAGTTTCTGCTATGATATTCCTTCTGGATTTAGTTTGCTTTTCACACATGCAAACTTGGGAAGTTTACAGTAGTCTACTGTTTGCTAAGGTGAGAGTATTTAATATAATTACTATTAATTGCTCTTTATTAATCTGTTACCACCGTATCTGTTTCAGATCGACGTTGGAGAAGACAAAGAAGACCCCGTAGTTAAAATAGTTCTTTTGTCTTGCATGCTGTACCTAATAGAAATAATTCTTTTAGTCCAAATTCAGATTAATTTTTTATTTTGCGTGTTTTTTTTGTAGTTAATTTGAATTAGTTTTTTATTTGCATGCTTATTTTTGTTGATTTTATCTCAAGTAATTGTTGATTGTAGATGTTTTTATTATTTTTTTGTAATAGTAGTAATGTAGTAGTAGTATTTACTAACACGTTTAGTAGTTGTAGTATAGTCTAACCGTGCTTACCTCTTCGCTTAGCTTACTGCATATTCTTCCTAATTTGCTTTGCATTTACCCTACGAGTTCTACATGATTCAACGTTTCGTTATCGTGTGTGTTTCTTCTCACCCTTGTGGAATTAGGGAGGGCCTCCCCGAACGACTTCCCTTGGGCTTAGCTATTTAGTTGATCTTAAAAGTGTCTTATACACTTTTCGCGAGTCTACTCTAGCGTTACTTCCTTTCAGACAGGGTACAGTGGGTTATCTGGAATAGGAGCAATAGGCGACTGCCCAGCTTGCCTTGGCGAAATCTGTCCGATCTTCTCTACCAAAACTATTAGTATTTG